ACCATTTACAATAAGCCTCTGGTCAGGAAGCACTTGCCCATGAGGCCACAAAGTAAATGCTGGGACAAGCTGTAGTTTCATAAGTGTTCTAATGAGGGGACTGGGAGGTGCATGATGCATGTATGGGCTAAAAGGTGGGGAAGGGCATCCTTAATCTGGTAATAGCTTACAGAAAATGTGGGTGATTTCTGTGGGAAGAACAAGCCCGATTAGTCACAATACAAGATGCTGGCCAGTACACAGGGGAATACTTTACTACTTTTAATTAAGGTTTGGCATATATTATGAAAAAAAAAATCCACCAAACTCCTCACCTAAAAAAAATTCCAAATTTTCCTGTCCCTCTTAATCACCTCATCATAGGCAGAGGCAGATAGATGGCACAGTGGATAAAGTGCTGGGCCAAGAGTCAGGAAGATCCCAGTACAAGCACAGGCTTAGCTGTGTGACCCCTGAGCAAGTCAAGCAAGACCTGTTTGCCTCAGTACCCTTAACTTGAAATTGGGGATAATAATAGCACCTCCCTCCCAGGAGGATTAAATGAAAGATTTGTAAAGTGCTTACCACAGTCCTTAGCACATAGTAGGTGCTGAATAAATGTTTGTTTCTTTCTTTGCTTCCTTATAGCACAGTGTGAAAGATTTAATATAAAGCACTGGCCTTTGGAAATGCAAGATTTGGGCTCAGCACCTGGTACTGTCTCTTAAAAGTAATACTGACCTGGGGCAGCTAGGTGGAGCAGTGGGCCTGAAATCAGGAGGACCTGAGTTCAAATGTGCTCTCAGACCAAACAATTGACACTTATTAGCCGTGTGACCCTGGGCAACTCACTTAACCCCAATTGCCTAAAAAAAAAAAAAGGTAATACTGAATGTTACATTCCTTCTCTGGATTTTTTTCTACATCTATAAGAAATAAGGTTGTAAAGAAAATTAGGATCTATATGTTTTGTGACAGTCTTCTGGCACAAGGGATTCCCTCCTGGAAGGACATAGGGCTCACCTATTAGCCCTTGCTTTCTACAACGGGGCTCACAGTCCCCTGACAGGGGCAGCTGTCAATAGGTTAAGTCCTTCTCTGGATACCCAGTTTATGCCTAAGGAAAGACCCATCGCCAGCTTGAGACATCAGGAAAAACAGCCCCTTACTGAGTTCAGGTGCTGAGAATACAAAACAATGGGAGTCAGTTCAGTGCAAAGCTTTATTGCAAACAACGAGGAAGAGGGGAAAGGGAAGAGAAGAAAAGGATACCCAACATACAACTCAGTCATACACACTGACAGAGCATAACTAATGTAAGGACAGTGCTGCAAGGGGGAGCACAGGTATGGGTCCATTCAGCAGGAAGTTGTGCTCCTGCTGGAGAGCAGCATATGCTCCAGCAGGAAGGAGTGCTCTAAAGTGCTCTTTTGAGAGTGAGGTTCTTATACTATGATTTTGGATGGCCTCCCTGGAGCTGGCCAAATTGTGTATCAGGGTCAGGACAAAATATTATTTCGGGGGGATTGTTTTCAGGGAGAACAGCTGGTAGACAAAACATTATTTGGAGGACATGGCTATACCAACCTTTGAAAAATGTTGTCAGTATTTTTCCACAAGTATGTTCTATAAGCTTTCAGCCTCAAAACCATAAGGCCTAATCATAAAACAATGGTTTTCATGCATAGATTCTAAGCTATAGCTACCCTTCATGGGAAACTGTCATGGTGGTCTCAAGACCAGAAGGCTTACTCTTATAACACTATGCTATTTTTAAATTAAGTATATGGTGGTATAAAAATGTGAGTTATTAGTACTACCTGAAATTACTTAGGTTGCAATGTTGACAGCATGGTCCAAGAGAGTATCTTCCATACTGGATAGAGTGAAAAGACCTGGCATGTCTGTGGAGAAAGGGACTTAAAAAAAATTTTTTTTAATATAGTGCTCCAAGATTTACAAAGCACTTTCCTCATAATAATCCTGTGAGATAGATGGTGCAAACATGTTGCAGATGTGGAAACTGAGCTCAGACAGGTTGTGTGTATTGCACAGAACAACCCACTAGAAAGAATCAGAGTTGGGACCTGAATCCCCATGTTCTCATTTCAAGTCTAGCATTCTCCCTACTATACCACACTGTCATTTTCTAGGGGAATGGGGGGTGGGAAGAGACAAGTGAATTTGTTCTGCTTTTCTATACTTTGCTACCATTCCTCAGCTGCCTTGGAGCTTGGGGTCTATTCACCTCACAACACCCTTCCACTATGCAGGTTCCCTTTTCCCATTGGTGAAATCCCTACTTGATCCTTCCATTTTTGGATTACGGCCCAGGCCAACATGGTGGCCTTCATTCTGTTCCTGTCTTTGCTTCTAAACTTTTCCTGACTTTGACACCATGCCTGGCCCCATCCTGCTTTTCACGTACTTTTGTGTTATCTTCCTTCATTAGAGTGTAGTAAACTCCTGGAGGGTAGGGACTACTTTTATTTTTTCTTGTATTTGTATCCTCTCTGCTTAGCACAATGCCTGGCACACAACAAGCAATTTTTCTCTCTCTTTCTGCTCCCACTACCAATTCAGCCTATTTCCAGACTAATCAGGGGATGCGGATCCAGCTGGGAAGAATTAAAGGCCTCTGTGGTTCACAGTGATTCCAGGTCTAGCTCATAGATATCTAGACTTAAGAATGTTCACTTGAAGGCCTAAAGGTACTTCTGAAGGGAATTTAGGTGGTTGTGTTCACTTTTGGATAGGCTTGGGGGTATACGGCAGCAGAACTAAAAGGTCAGTTGTGTCTATGACCAGCTCATCTCAAGGACTCCTGCAAACCAAGACGGTTCTAGGCCACAGATTAAATCACTTACACATCAATATCAACTTAAGACTTGCACAGCACCTTCCTCAGAAGAAGCCTATGAAAGCAGTAGTGCAAGTTATTTCTACCTAAATTTTATAAATAAGGAAACTGGGTCTCTGAGAAATTAAATGACCTCCCTATGATCCCAGTGAGTAAATGGGATTTTGAACTCAGGTTCTCTGACTCTGAGGCCACTTGATCTTCTACGCCATGTTGCCCTATGGCAGAATCATTCAGGCTTTCTATGAGTCTTACAGACCATGGGATATCTAAGATCATTCCTCCTGTAGGCATTTCCAGAATGGCTAGACTAATTAGAAGCCCCACCAACAATGCACCAGTGTCCTGTTTTCTGCTTATCAGTAGCTCTGATTTTGACCCACTATCTCATTTTGGGCCTTGAGGTTTTAATCTAGGTCTTTTTGCTTGAGGTTACTTGATATGCTCCAGACGTTGATGTATCTGCCACAACAAATCTCTGGGTAATAATATTATACAGAGCTTATCGGCACTGTGCTAACTGCTTTACTGTCTCATTTAATTCTGAAAAAATCCCTAGGAAGTAGGTGATATCCCCATTTTATAGATGGGAAAACTGAGGTACAGAGAAGTTAAGTGACTTGCCCAAAATCACACATAGTACATGTCAGATCCCACATCTGAACTTGGGTCTTCCTGACTCCAGACCCAACATATTTACTGTACCACTTAGCTGCTTCTAACGTGCCCTTCTACAACACTCTACATAACCACAAATGCCCTTCAAACCTAGGGCTCTCCCCTGGATAGAGAGAAATTATCTTCCCACACAACATCTCATAATATCATTTCTATAACTCTCTTTTGAATATCCAGGCCCCCTTTCCCTATCATATTCTAAGTTCACACTTTTCCTTGGGACACAAATACATATACCAGCAACTAAAACCTTTCTCACAGGGGTACTGTCTACTTCAAGCTCCTCCCCTCATTCCGGATACTGGTGTTACCTATGAACACATTGCCTCAAGATTGCCATTTAGAAGCCTTTGGACACCTGTTCTAGAACCACTGCCTGCTGAACTTTTGCCTATGCATACCTGCTTTTCCTCCATATCCTTAAAGCCTCAAAGACCATGACTAGTGTAAAGGCACCTTAGCATAACACAGATCTGATGCTTGATGTGACCTTGGGCAAGTCACTTAACCCGAATCTCCATTTCCTCATCCCTAAAAAGTGTATAAATATTTGTACTCCTTACCTCACAAGGTTATATATTTTGAGCAGGAGGTGATGTGCGGCTCAGTACAAGAAGTTCAGATTTAAGGTCAAGAATTCAAGATTCATTACTAACAATTTATTATTGTATGAACTGTGTGCAAGGTATTGTACAAAATCCAATTGATTGCAACAAGTTCCTCTGATAAAGGTTTCATATCCAAGATACGTAAGGAATGGGTTCAAATTTATGAAACTGAGAGCTAATCCCCAAGAGACAGACAAAGGATATATACAAGTTTTCAAAGAAAGAAATCCAAGTTATCCTATCAAGTGTTTTAAATCACTAAATATTTAGAGAAATGCCAATTAAAGAAGCTTTAAGGTTTTACAACACCCATCAAAAATAAAGAGAAAATGACAATTATTGGAGGAACTGAGGGAAAATAGGGACACTGGTACACTGCTGGTAGAACTACAAGTTAGTATAAACCTTCTGGAAAATGAACATGGATCTAAGCTCCAAAAGTTACTAAAATGAACCCAGATATACCACTAGGCCTATAACTCAAAGAGAACAAAGGAAGAGGAAAGGGACCTATACCTACAAAAATATCTTAGCAGTTCTTTTCATAGTAGCCCCAAATTGGAAACTAAGTAGCTGTCTTATTGGGGAGTGGTGAAACAAATTATGATGTATAAACACAGCGGAATATTATCATGCCATAAGAAATGACAACTCCAGAGGAAACTGGGAAGACTTCGATGAATTGATATAGAGTGAAGTGAGAAAATGAACAATTTATAGGACAAAACTGTAGAGAAAAACAATTTGATTAAAGGCTTTAGACTTTGATCAATGCAATTATAAAACATAAGTTCAGGAGACTAAAGATGACACTTGCCTCAGGCCAGAGACGATGAACTTAAAATGCAGAAACATATTTTGGAGCAAGGCCAAAGTGAGAATTTGTTTTGCTTTATTATATATATTTATGATAAGGGTTTTGGTTTTCATGGGGTGGAGGGGAGGTGTAGTGGGAGGGACAAATTATGAATACATAAAAAAAATTAATAAACTTATTTTAAACAAACAAAAACAAACTTAAAGAAATAAGCTAACTGGAAATTTGTAACCTAAACTGATTACACAGAGACAAAACTAAGTGGTAAAACATAGACTGAAATGATACCTTTGCAAATGCAGATTTGCAAGTTTTCTTGGGAATTATTCCCCTGTTCTTGTTCAAGCCGCTTCTTCATGCTGCTCCATTTGTGCTTCAGACTAGTAGTTTGGTTTTTTGCAGGCAAAGAGTGGTATGTGGTTGTCTTATTCACCTACAATCCCAGGTACCCTTCCATAGCCTCTTACATGGCCTCATCTGCTGTCATAATTTAACTACCCTATCTGTGATTTCCTACACATGGTCTGTTTCTCTCAGAGAAAATCTCCACATTTCAGGAGTTGGAACATCAACTTCCTAATTTTGGACATTTCACACCAAATCAACCTATTTACTATATGAACCGTAGCAATCATTGCCTAGGCCTCAAAGAAGAGATGTCCAAAGTGACTGGGTGGGGATTAAAGTGGGTACCAAAAGAAAAGCAGTTCCCACCCCCTCCAAGAAGGAGGAGCTGTTGCTCTTCTGGTAGGAAGATGCTGGTATGGTTGTGCAGCATTAGAGGCCATGGAACACAGGTTGTGTCAATATGGTATTCAGAACTTAGTTTTGTGGTCAGGTCAATTACTGTCACTCCAGGAACAGAGGAGGAATGAATCCAGACTCCTCCTACCAGCAGCAGCTTTCCATCAAATACATGGGCTGTGTGAGAATATCTTGGGGTGATAGGAGGCTGGACCTCCAACCTTTCCCAACAAAATCCATTAGGGACTGGTTTCAGAAAGTGTACAGAGCTCAGTGGTTCCTCTGAAACACTCAGGCCTCCTGCAATGAGGGCTCCTCCCTTCCAACTGCAGGCACTATGAGAGTGTCGAGCATCAGGTTCTGGCCCTTCTACTGGGAAACTGACCCACGTCATTGTGTCCAGGTGTAGAAAATGCCAGTCACCTAGCACAGGATCCTTCCCATTTCGTCCTCCATACACAAACAAGTATGTCTGCCTTTGACAACGGACCTTAGCAGCTGAGTGTCGCCATCGTGGAGAGGGGAACTCTGATCCTGGGCCAACTTCTGTGATGGTCACCTTCAGGTTGTCAGCACCATTTCCCTCTGGGGAGGGGCAGCAGAGCCAGTACATCCCCAAGGCAGGAGTCACTGGGGACAGTCTCCCACCCAGCACAAGAACCAGAGTATCTGAGAAGGAGGTCATGGTGTGGAAGAGACGTCCATCCCATTGGGCTCCACTCCCACACACGTGGCTCGCATTCCACCTAGAGCCGGCTTGTCTAAACAGCACATGACACTTGCTCATCCTCGCATGTCGCCCCTCCTGCTCACCAAAGCCCCCTGTGCTGAGGATAACATCGGGGCCCAGGAGGGCCGAGGCATGGCCAAACCGCTTCAAGTCACAGCCCTCGGCCTCCCCTAATATACTGGCGGACAAGACGCCAACCGGAGGGGCTGGCTCCACCCGAGGAAGAGTGTCCACGGGCGGCAGCAGTATGGCCTGGCCCGGCCCGCCGGCGGTTGAGGCCACCAAGATGAAATAGTGGGAACACTTGAGGTGCCACTCCTCAAACTCATCGAAGGGTTCGAGCGTCTGGACGCGCCTCCGCTCCTCGGCAGGGAGGAAGCCGTGGTAGAACTCGTTCATGTCGAGCACGCTGCAGGCGCCCCAGCCGGCGTCAAGGAAGCGCCGCCGCTGGGCCGCCACGTCGGGGAAGCTGGCCAGCCCGTGCAGAGGCGAGCTCAGGCGCTCGAAGTGCCGCTGCATGACCCGGCCGAAGGGGTCGTGAGGCCCCATCTGCTCGTAGAGCACGAAGAGGGCGTCGGCGAAGCGGCCCGCGGCCCATGCCAGCAGGGCCGCGGCGCTGCCCGGCTCCAGGTACGAGAGCACGGCCTCGGCCAGCAGCAGCGTGGGCGCCCCGACGTCTAAGCCGGACGCCGCCAGGGCGTCGCTCAGCGCCGGCACGTCGCGCAGGTCGCTGCCCAGGAGGCGGTAGTCCTCGCCGGCGAAGCGCAGCGCCGAGTCGGGGCCGAGGCCCAGGTCCGCCGCACTCAGGGGCGGCCCAGCCAACGCGGCCAGCTCCGGCGAGGCGCGAATCCTCGCCGCCTTACGCTCGGCCACGTCCGGGAAGTCCACTTCCCACACGGCGGCCCGAGCCAGGCGGCCCGCGGCTTTCAGGCGGAAGTAGAGTGAGTCGGATCCCGCGCCCAGCGATAGGATCTGCCGGCGCGGCCCGCCGCCCTCGGCGGGAGCGCTCTCCAGGAAGGCGCGCACACAGTGCCTCACGGCCCGCGCGCGCACGTAGTAGCCGCGGTGGATGAGTGGCGCGCGCCGCGGGGCGCCAGCGACCAGCAACGCCGCAAAGGGATCGCGCACGTAACCATGCGCCGCGAGGGAGCACTTGCTGAGTGAACTGCTGTCGTTCGTACTCTGCACCGCCCCGGCCCGGCGTTCGCGGCCGCGTGGGCCCATAGCCGCCGGTACCCGACTGGAGGGCTGGAAACACGTGCTGACGGGCCGGAAGGGCGCTTACCAACGCGTGGTCATCTTTGCATTTTAGTTCTAGCCTGTCCTGGGAATCGTGCCGACGTGAATGCTCTTCTTTCCTAGGGTCCCTCAGGAGCTTACTTCCAAAGAAAGCAGTTTCCGACCAATTAGAAAAGGGAGGGCGGGACGAGCACTGAGCACTTGCTTGTGATTGGCTCCGCCCTTACCGCTTCCTTGTGCCTTCCAGGGTTTCCGGGGAGGGAGTTCTTAGGGATCTTAATAACATCTGTTTGACGGCTGACGCCGGCCATGTGACATAAATCTTTTTTCTTGTAACTTTCGAATTAAGAGGAAAAAGCGATTTCTCATCGTTATATTTCGAAAGATGTGAAGTTTTTAAGAGGTAGGTTCGTGAAGATCGGATGCTCGCCTCCTTTTGGGGCCCTGTGGTTGGATGGACGGTGTGAACAACTTTGGGGTGTCTTCTGGTGGGGGCAAGTCGGTTCAGTCGCTTGGGTCTTTTGGATAGAATAAAGAGGGGTCAGAGGGAAAGAATTTGGGTGTCTCGAGAGTGATGTAAAGCCAACATGGAACTTAAATGGGAGTTCACAGACTGCATTCAGCAGGTTAGGGTGGCAACAGAGTAAGGAAATCGATCAAGCATTTATTAAGTGCTTGCTAGGACACTGCTAAGCGTTGGGGATTATTTTTTAAAAGACCAGGAAACACAATCTCTGCCCTCAAGGAGCTTACATTCTTAAACAATTTTTTTTCCTCAATTACATGTAAAAACAATTTTTAACATTAGTTTTTTAAAATTTTGAGTACCAAATTATCTCCTCCTCCTTGAAAAGGCAAGCATTTTGATATACATAATGGGAAACATTTCCGTAAGAGCCATTGGAAAAAAGAAAAACAGACCAAAAAACCCCAAGAAAAATAAAGAAAGTATGCTTTCATCCACATTCAGACTCCATTAATTCTTTCTTTGGAGGTGGATAGTATTTTTTCATCATAAATCCTTTGGAATTATCTTGGATCACTGTATTGCTGAGAATAGTTAAGCCCTTCACAGTTGATGTATCCAACAGTATTGCTGTTACTGTGCACAATATAATCTTGGTTCCGAAGGAGTTTACATTCTAATGAAGGGGAGAACATGTTACATAGTAGACAGAAGGTAATCTGAGGAAAAGCTCTAGGAGTTGCTATGGGGGGACTGAGAAAGGCCACCTGAAGAAGGTGGATTTTGAGTGGACTCTTAAGGGAAGCTAGGAAGTTGAGGTGAGAAGGGAGAGCATTCAGGGTTATGGAAGGATGGACCTGGTTTGATAGGAGAATCAGAGAGTATGTGAATCAGTGAAAGAAGGAAACCAAAAATAGGGTAAAACTCACTGGTCTTGGCATACTAATGACAAAGGCCTGAGTTCTTGGTGATTTAGTGTTACATTGTGACATAAAGAGTGAGAGATACTGAGATTAAAATTTAAAAAAAAAAGGGAAAAAAATTTTTCAAGAAACATTAAGTATCTGTTATATGCAAGGCATTATACAAGGTCCAGAGGACACAAAGACAAAAACAAACCAGTCCTTAACATTCATAGAGCTTATATTCTACTTTGTAAAATACTGCATCTATATGTACAAGTAGATACAGAGTCATTGGAGGCTGGAGAGAGCATTAACAACCGAAGGGAGAAGGAAGGGCTTCACATAGGAGTTGGCACTTGACTTGAGCCTTGAAGGATGCTAAGGATTCTAATAAGCCCAAGTAATAATGGATTGGATTCTAGACATAGGGAATAGCCTGGGCAAAGACATGGAAGCAGGAGATGGTGTGCTGAACACAGGGAACAGATAATCAAGAAGGTTTGAAACATAGAAGTGTAAGTTTGGAAAGCAAGGTTGGAGCTGTACTGTGTTGGACTCTAACTGCCAAAGAGTTTGTATGTTGTTCTTAAGAAGATAGGGAGGATCTATGTGGAGGATGTGGAGTGGAAGATGGATTGTAGAGGGGTGAGACAAGACTCCAGGAGAGCAGTTAAGAGACTGTTGTAAGAGTTCAGCAAGAGATGATGGTACATCACACCTATCAGATTGGCCAACATGACAAAACAGGAAAATGATAAATGTTGGAGAAGATGTAGGAAAATTGGAACACTAATACATTGTTGGTGGAGTTGTGAAATGATCCAACCATTTTGGAGAACAGTTTGGAACTATGCCCAAGGGCTATAAAAATGTGCATACCCTTTGATCCAGCAATAGCACTTCTAGGGCTATATCCCAAAGAGATCAAACAAATGGGAAAAGAACCCACATGTACAAAAATATTCATAGCAGCTCTTTTTGTGGTGGCAAAGAATTGGAAATTGAGAGGATGCCCATCAATTGGGGAATGGCTGAGCAAGTTGTGGTATATGAATGTAATGGAATACCATTGTGCTATAAGAAATGATGAACAGGCTGACTTCAGAAAAACCTGGAAAGACTTATATGGTCTGATGCTGAGTGAAGTGAGCAGAACCAAGAGGACTTTGTACACAATAACAGCCACGTTATGCAATGACTAATATTGTTCAACTGAACCCTTCTCAGCATTACAAGGATCTAAGACATCTCCAGAGGCCTCGGGATGGAAAATGCTGTCCATATCCAAAGAAAGAACTATGGAAGTCGAATCGTTATCACTTATTTTTACCTTCTGTTGAGTTTTGTTTCATCTTTCTGGTGGTTCCTTCTATTGGTCTTAATTTTTACTTACAACTTCACTAATGTGAAAATATGTTTAATGGGTATGTAAATGTAAAGCCTATAACAGATTGTGCGCTGTCTTCGGGAGGGTGGAGGGGAGGAAGGGGGAGAAAAATTTTCAACTCAAAAGCATATGGAAGTGAATGTTGATAAATCAAAATAAATTAATAAAATTTTAAAAAAAGGAGAGATGATGGCAGCCTGAGGGCAGTGGTTGTGGGAGAAAGGAATGGTATGAGATATGTTGTGTTGGTTGAGGGAGAGGGGTCAGGGATGATTCTGAGGTTGCAGACCTCTGACTGGAAGGAGGGTGGTACCGTCAAACAGAAACAGGTGAGTTTGGACAGAGGGTGGGTTTTGGGGAGATGAGTTTTATTTTGTATGTGTTGAAGTTTAAGACATCGGTGAGATGTCTGGCGGTCACTTAGCAATATGGAACTGGAATTGAAGAGATTAGGCTGGGCAATACAAGTTTGGGAATCATTTGCATAGAGATAGATGATGGTTGAATATCTAGGGACGAAGGAGATCATGAAGGGAGCCAGTTGGAGAAGAGAAGCTCCAGAACAGATACAGAACAGAACATATTTCACGTTCAGAAGCCAAGAGAAGAATGATCTGAAAAAGAAAACTGAAAAGGAGCAGTTAGGTTGGAACAGGGCAGTGTCATGAAAACCAGGACAGAAAGCATAATTCACAATGTCAGAAGCCGCTGAGTGGTCAAGTAAGGTGAGGAGTGGAAGAAAGACTAATAGATTTAGCATAGGATTAAAGGAAGGGGAGGGGCAGGACAGAATAAGCATCTATAAAGCACCTACTATGTGCAAGGCATTGTGCTAGTTGCTTTACAAGTATCTCATTTGTTCCTCATGACAGCCCTGTGAGGTAGGTACTATTTTGACCCCCCATTTTACAGTTGAGGAAACTGAGGCAAGCAGAGGTAAAATGACTTGTACAGGGTCACGCAGCTAATGAGTGTCTGAGGCTGCAGTTGAACTCAGGTCTTCCTGACTGTGGGCCCATTGTTATATTCACTGTACCACCAAACTGGAGAATGCAATTCCATTTGATGTTGGGTCAGAAGCAGTTATTAAGATGTTGGAAAGTGACTCAAGGTGTGTAAATGGAGGCAGTGAGTATAATTTTTAAAAAAATATTTTGGCTATCATTATTGTATATTTAAGTTTTAGTAATAAAAAAGAAAAAGGGGAGGAGCAGCTTAAGTAGGGCAATGGATAGAGCACTGGCCCTGGAGTCAGGAAGACCTGAGTTCAAAATCCAGCCTGAAACACTTACTAGCTGTGTGACTCTGGGCAAGTCACTTAAACCCAGTTGCCTCCCAATAAATAAATATAAGTTAATTTTTAAAAATAGTTCGGCTATCAAAGGGAGAAAAATAGGACAGTGCCTCAAGAGGATGGTTGAGTCACGTTTTTTTGTTTGTTTGTTTGTTTTGTTTTGTTTTTAGGAGAGATCTGAACTTGTTTTTAAGCAGCAGGGAAGAAACCGGTAGTGAGGGAGAGAATGAAGATAAACTAGAAGGAATGCTCAAAGGGTCAAGATCCAAAGGCCAACCTTTGGGAGAAGATATAAGGCAGTGAGGTCAAAGACACAAGTGGTAGGGTTTGGCCCTTGCAAGATGATCCCTCCTGTTTCTCAGGGTCTGGAGCAAAGGGGTAGAGAATCAGAGGTCAACACATTTGTCTGTTCTGAAGCACAGGAGTAGGAGAGAAGGCAGATGGTTTTGGTAACCAAGTGTTGGGCATTGGCAAGGCATGAGCTCCAGGAAGATAAGGGGGCAAGGGATTCAAGGATGGAAGACAATGTATAGTTGAACTGATCAACGATGTAGTGTTGAGACTGAAGGGAGCAGGAGGACAAGTAATAGGTTGAGGTGGCTTGAGGAAGTTGAAAGGATAAGAGGTTATGAGTCAAGTGGGGAATTTTGGTGTTTAGAATCATATAGGTTACACAGTTATGGTTGATGGTGTGAACTGAGGTACTGCTCATTCCCGTATCTGTGGAGTAAAGATAAAGTTCACAGGAGCTGAGGAGGTTTAACTGGGAGGACATTTCAATTGAGAGGACATCATAATTTGTTGAAGTCTCTGAGTATGAAGGCAAACATTGGGATGGATGCGTACAAGCCTGTACTTATAAGCCTTAACTTGAGAAAGGATGGAAAGAGATCTGGAAGCCAGTAGATTACAGCAATGAGGATCTAGGCCAAGGGTGGGGAGCCTGTGGCCCTCTAGGTCCTCAACTGTGGCCCTTTGACTGAATCTAAACTTCACCAAACAGATTTGTTCTGTAAAACTTGGACTCAGTCAAAAGGCTGCACCCAAGGACCTAGAAGGCCACAGGTTTGCCACCCCTGATCTAGACAGAATGATTTAGATGGATGGAGTAAACCTCAAAGGAGAAGTTGCTTTATGTTGGCTGCAGAAGGTGGGTCTGGAAATGGAAGGGATAAGCAAGGGTTATACCGACTCCTCCTGGCCCAATGTATCAGGTGGTATGAAAGAGGGAAGGACCCGACACTAGAGAGTCCAGCTTTGTCATCTGGAGGAAGCTAGGTTCCCTTGAGTTTAAGAAGATGGAACAAGTCAGATCAAAAAGCATTTAAGTGCCAGGCACATATTCATGTTTTGTTCTGGGGATACAAAGAAAGGCAAAAGGACAGGCCTTGCTCTTTGGGGGCTCACATTCTAATGGGAGAAACTACATAGAAACAACTAGGTGGGTACAAGACTTTGCAACATGTAGGATGTGTGGAGTGAATACAAGAGAGGAGTTACGAATGATATCAAGGTTGAGAGTCCGGGTGACCGGGAAGATGGTGGTATGCTTGACCAGGAATAGGGAGACTGGGGAGAGGAGAGAGGTTCTGAAGGGAAAGTGAGTTCTGTTTGAACATGTTGAGTTTGAGATGCCTATTCAGCATCCAGTTGAGATATCCTAAAGGCAGTTGGTAATATAAGATTGGAGCTTAGGAGAAAGACTGGCGCTGGATATACAGATCTGGGACTCGAATAGCATGGAGATTTTTTTTTAAAGGACTAAAAAAGAAAAAGAAAAATAGATATATGCCTTGGAGCTCCAAGGTAAACTTTGTTATGAACTTTAGTACACACCCCATCCTCCCTATACCTTACAACTTGTAAGAAGAAAGCCTTATGTTGGGGACTGTTTTGTTGGATGAAAGTTGAAAGCACTTCCCGTTTCATTCTCAAAAAAGTCTGTAGTATGAGTAGCTGGAAATAGGAGTTGTGTTCATGTTCTTAATGAAACATTGTCTGGAATTGAGAAAGAGCTAGTTCTGGGATTGTCTTCCAGCTTTTCCTTATCCCTCTGACCTCCACCCCAGAAGGTTGGAGTTGGCAGTGACATGGCACTGGGAGCAGCAAGGATCAGCAGTCAGACATCTTACTGAGTGCTCGCTGTGTGCTGAACACTGGAATGCCAGGGGAAAAGTGAAATAGTCCTTATCTTCAAGGAACTTGTGGTCTTAACAAGTCTAATATCCTGCTTGGGCAGGGAGGATTTGGTTATTGACAGTTTTTAAAACTATATATCAACCTATGAAAATTTGTATAAAAACTTAGTGCTCTCACTAGTCAAGTTATATAAAATATATTAAATATTAGGGGAGATCCCTCATATTTTAATGTCTCTGCCACTTTAATGCCTTACCTTATCTGAGCAAAGCAGATTCTTTCTGTCCCTCGTAGACAAAAAAAGAAAATCATGTGTTTCAAGGGCTATTTTGATCCATGGAAGGAGAAAGATAGAGATAAGCCTTCTGTTCATCTTAAGAATGAATATTGGGTAGAGGTGGGAAAGGACAACATGTGAGTCAGTAATAATATTATATAGGATATAAGGCCTGGCCCCAGTAACCTTTAAACCTAGATGTGAAAGGATGAAATTTAAAATTTTTGGAATGAGACTAGCAATATAATAACACTAGGAAAATTAATGAGGGAAAAAGAGACTACCATGGATTTGAATGATAATGAGTTTACTTTGGAATTGAGTAAATTTTAACCTTACTCTGTAAGCTTCCTCAACTCCTAAAAGTAGATAAGTATAATACATAGTAGGGGTATGATAAACAAAGAATGTGTGTGTGTTGGAGAATGTACCGAATTAACAAATTCAGAGTTGAATGTGCCAGTTTTAAAAAGTAGAAAATTGCCAACTTTATCATATGGACATGTAGATACAGGGCCTAACGTATTAGAATTTAGGAGTGAAGTCCTCTTTTACCTGAGCAGAGACTTTTTAGTATTTAAACCTTGGAGCTCTTGAAAATAGTTTCTTGGGGATAGATTCCTTCTCTCCTGCCCCCATCCACCTTAATTACTGTTGTTGTGCTTCCTAAAGGATGGATTAATGGAATCCTATTACTCAGGTATGGTCTGTTCTTAAAATAGTCTTATCAATCAGAAAATGTTTGTGTTTTGTGAAAACGTAGGTGATACACTTTCCTGACCTGGTTGTGCTACCAATAGTGGAAGAATTTATGGAAGCAAGCCTGTGAGGGAGAGATTCCAGACTGTAGAACATGCTGAATAGAATTATACTTTACGGTTCACAACAAGAGTAGCAGTGTTTGGGATCTGCAGATATATCTCTTTTGCTTGAAGGAAGATCTTTTTTCCATTAGAATCATGATGACAATGGAAGAGCAGCAGCAGCCACAGAAGAATAATTTTTACTTGGAATTACCCAAAGTGGTGAGAATTAAACAACAAATTACATAATTCTTGAATTAATGTTAATTATGTTGACAAATGTATTGTCTTTTCTCATAAAAGTAAATTTGCTAAGAATTGCTAATTTTTAAATTTTTTACATTAGTAAAATAACTTTAAAAAGCATATGTCTTTAAATAAATATAGACTAAATGTACAGTTTGCTTAGTATAGTGTAAGCACCTAATTATTACATCTGTCTTTATACTGTTGACACTTAAATTCTTAATAATTGTCTCTTTTTTAGGAACTTCATGCCCACTTGAATGGATCTATTAGTTCTGCTACTATGAAGAAGCTAATAGCCAAAAAACCAGACCTTAACATCCATGATCAGATGACTATGATTGATAAAGGAAAGAAAAGAACTTTAAAAGAGTAAGCATAAGGAGCTTTGTTAGGGACTTAGGGGGTTTTTCCCATGTTTTCTGAGCTTATAAGTGGAATGGCAAAACCACATTGGTTGCAGAGATTCTGTTTTTTTGAGCTAAGGGAAATGATAGGATATTATCATTATTATTACAGTCAAAGACAAATGCTTGAGTTTCTCTATGAAGACAATTTTTGATGTTAGATAATAAATGTATTTACAGTTTGAAATTCATTCTGAGTCTTATTGCAGATGTTTCCAGATGTTTCAGCTCATTCATCAGATTACCACTAGCCCTGAAGATATATTAATGGTAAGATAGTACCAGGACTTTTTAGGAATTTTTACATTATTACTCTTTTTTTTTTTTTGGTGAGGGCAGTTGGGGTTAAGTGACTTGTCCAGGGTCACACAGCTAATAAGTGTTTGGTCTGAGGTCGGATTTGAACTCAGGTGCTCCTGACTTCCAGGCCAGTGTTCTATCCGCTTCGCCACCTAGCTGCCCCGAATTTTTACATTATTGAATAATTCAAATCTTGCTTTTTTTTGTTTGTCATTATGAGTCTGATGGAAGATTTTGAGTTTTTTGTTTTCAGTAAGATCCCTTGTCAAAACCAATATAAATCATTTGCCTAGGGACTAATACATAAAGGTCAGTGCTTTTTAAAGATTAATCAGAGAGAGATTTAGTCTTAAGTCTGTCTTAACAAGTAGGGCAAAACAGATACATTTTCTGAAGTGAAATCTGTTCCATGTTTCCATCTATAGCCTAATATTCTCTGGAACATTTTTTTGCAGCTGAAGCTTTCCTATAACATGTAGGATTTGCCTCCAGATGTAACCACATTGAGTAGAAGTTGCAGAAAAAAGCCAGGTTTAAAAATGGCTTAGATAAAATATACGTATGACTCCTTAATACCACTGAGAGTTGGGTTCTGTAGACCAGGGCTTCTTAAACTTTTTCCACATGCAGCTTTAAATTTAAGAAGCGCTGTAGTATAGACCATTGGGACTGACCACTATGGCATTCTTTATAGTCCTTATGCAAGTGGTGGGGGGAAAAAATCTTAGTATTCTTAACTGTAGGAAAAAATGAAAGAGTGAAATGATTGTTCTCTGTATCTGAAGAATTCTCTTTTGGCTCATCTATTTTGAATACAAAAGAATTTTTCTCTCTGTTCGCAGCCCGTTGATATTATAGTCAGGTCTCTTTGTGTCATATTTGTCTGCCAGACTATAAGCTCTTTGAGGACAAGGAAGAGTTTGATGCAAGTGAGAGAATACTGCATCTGAAGTCAAAGCAGTTAGGTTCAGTTCCCTCTCTGCCAGTCACTACCTGGGCAGACTTGAACAGATCAGTTATCCTCTCTGGGCCTAAGTTTCTGTAAAACATGGACTGGATAACCTCCAAGGTCACTTCCAGGTTTAATCTACAGGCCTGTTGTCTTTTGACAGGGACTGTATCTTAATTAAGCTTTTTATTTTTCACAGTACCTGCAAAGCACAGGGCTTTGCACACAATAGGCACTTAATGTTTCTTCAATTGAATTAGTAAGTAATTAACAATAATAGCCATGAGGTGATGAATTTTTTGACCCTGAAAACTAATGAATCAGAGACCTAAATGAGCAAATTAAAAATGGTTCTCAGTCCTATGTGATACCCACTAAAAAGTTCAAATGATGCTAAGAACCAGTTTTTAGACCATTTATGAATAATTACTGTAGGTACTCTAAACGTGAGATTTGTCAAATGACCAATGAATTGTGATACAACTAGAAGAAATGAATCACTTCAGTGATGATAATCCAGTGAATGAGACCAGGAGAAAAAAAGATGATTTGTAAGCCTTCCTTGAAGAAGGAAACAGTGCCATTGGCAAAATTAGTTTCATAGTATGCTGTGAGAAATGATGATTATGAAATTTCATTGACTCTCTTCATCTTGGTGGTCAGATCCCACCCAACCTTGCAAGGATTTAATCTAAGGTAGGGAAGTTCAGTGGATTTTGCTTAGGCTTGGGTGGGGTATACATTGTTTGAATTGATAGCTTAAAGTTATGAGTAGTCTGGTATAGAGAAATACTTTCCTTATCCAGGAGATACTTAGTCCTTCATTTTAATATAGCCAGCCTCCAATCATATTAGCTAATTAGATTTGATTGTTGTTTGATGGACCACCTGCTGTTTTGAAGGGTATATAACTGTAAGTCCACCCACCATGATTATCTTTGGTCTGAGCAAATGACCATCCTTTTATTAATAACCTGCTGGCCTTATTAATAAAATGATTAAATTACCCAGATATTGTGTCTCTTGAACCTTTTTAAAGGGGACAATGCTTAAAGGCAACGTGAAATGTCATTTCTTGGAATACCTGGATTCATCCTACTTTGTGTTGCTCATTAAGAGCATACGTTCATGATCACCATCAAAGTAATTGTAATTATATATCAAATTCCCATTGCAAAGGATAGAGAGATAGAAAAATTCTGCATAGACTATTATAACTTCAATGTTAAAGTGAGCACAGGAAGGATGCCCATTGGAGAAACAAAAGAGGCCAAGGCTTATAGACTGCTCAGAAGCATTATGCCTTTATGTCATGAATACTCTTCCAAAGAGAAAGTAGGAAAGTATTAGATGTGAGGAACAGACATCCGCACAAAGTGAAATTGACTACAACTTATTAGGCAGAAGATGACTACTTATATGAGAATCGTATTAGGGTCATTCATCAAAGTGCAATTTCAATGGACTAATCTACATCAGTTTGGAAAATTAAAGGTGAGAAGATGGCATGGCATGGCTACAACAGTTTCAGTCAGATTTATTCAGGCAAATTGTTAATGAGCAACAAATGGAAAAAGACAAAGATGATGATCTTAATTATCTCTGCTGCAAAATTTTAACTGAAATAAAACAGTCACAAGAAGGTGTGACCCCAAAATTCCAATCCAATGTGAACAAAAAGACACTGAGGTACTCCAACTATTTTCAATTTATTAGTGCATCCGGGAGTTCCTAATCATTTGTGTCCCAGATCTTCCTTAAGATCAGGGACCCCTCCTACCTGAGGGTGACCAGTGCTTATACAGAGTGACAATAAGACAGTTCTATTTCGTGACAAGTTGGTGTCAGAAGTGGAGAAAACTTTATGATTAGTTGAGGAGTTATTAATCATAATCACTGTGTCAGCAGACTTTTAAGTCTATATTCTATATCAGGTTTTTCTTGGAAAAAGCATTCCACCTGCAGCCTTAGCAGGAACTTTCCTAGGAAATCAAACAACCGGTATTTTTGTCAGCAGTACCTTGAGGAGTTTAGGATTTGCTGGGCAAGAAGAAATGTCAGCAGGTAGAAATGATAATGATTGATTCTTAGGAGTGAGGGATGTTAATGCTGTTATAACAAACTCCAGGGTTAATGTAATATGATTTTCTGTAACAGACAGTCATGATTTTATCCTACAGTCTACCATGATGCCACTAATGTATAATATCAATATCACTAATAGGAAAGAGGTTATTTGGCCCTAACATATGTAACTTTTATCCTAACAGCATCAACATACATAACTAACTTAAACTTGATCCTTTTCTGCTTAATTCACAAATGTAATCACTGATATCCATCAAATCACAGTATCAAAATTATCCTCACAGAGGAGGAAGCCCCAAAAGGGCCCAGAAATCACCTTAGCCAACGAGCACTTGATCTCCTTGCTAGCCAAAGAAAAATAGCATGGAAGAGAACTACTAGCTTAGAATACAAACTCATTTGTAAAACACCACAGAGGAGTATAGATAGATAGAAAGAACATTTTGAGGAGGAAATATTATCACATTTAATAGTAAAAAGTAGTGGAAATGAAAATAGATCTAAGAAAAGCTTGGGATCAGATACAAATGAGCCATATCATCTCAAGAGCATTTATCAAGGAAACTGACAAGGTCAAAAAATAGACAAAGTGGGACAATTAGTGTTTCTATAAAATTCTGTTTCTGTCATTAGTGAGAGAAGAACCTCCATAGTTAAACTTATGATTTAATATTTTGTTTGTCTTCTGGCAAAGTCTCTCATACATTATGGTCATAAAAGAATCCTTGAAGGGAGAAAGAGAAGGGAATAAATTTAACTTAATTTTAGACAAATTTCATTTAAAGCCATGACTCGAGATTTGTTAGAAGGAATAATAAATAGTAATAGGATTCTTCAGGGCTGAATTTTGCCCAGAAATATTTAATGGTAGAGGGGATTAGTAATAAGTGAAGGCAGAATTAAGGCCATTAGAAGTACAAATTTCAACAGGTATTAAAAAATCAAAGGAAAGGAAGAATGAGGGTTTAAAGACACATCTAGTAGCTTACCTAAAACGATATGAGCACTAAAAGACAAAAATTACCAGAACCTACTTTATTTAAGCCTTACGTATGACTAAAACAGACTAACTTCTCATAATAATAATTTAATAATAAGATGACGTGACTATCAAATCACATAACAAAGTCTATGCTATCCCTTAACATTGGGGAAATAAGTCAAATAATCAGATCCTTATTTTCCCGGTTTCACTATTTTTCAAGTTCCTCGAAAAAACAAAATCATAACATGTATCACTGAGAAAATAAATACATTTTTCACATTTTTAGTATCTGGCCATCAGATTTAGTTATGCTTCATCATACTATACTTAAGTCATGGCTTTAAACTGTCAGTAATTATCACATCCCACGTTTAGCTCTTAATTTCAATATCTACCTTCACTAAATTCTTCACTAGCATTGCTAACAAGCTTTCAATGATTTAAACTTTATCTCCTTTCTTTGTTCCCACAAACCTACTGATTAGAATTTTTTTCAAATGGCTAAAGAAGTAAAGGATATAGTCAAAAGATTCACTTATGAATTTAATTTAGCATGGGTGATAGGAGCAGAGCAGGTATAAATTTTCCAAACCATCTTGTGAAATTTTCTTATATTTTAGAGTGTGTAAGTTTTTTCTTTAAATGATCACTTCTGCTACTTAAGCATTTACCAATTATGTATATTGATGAGTTCATTTTATATAATAATGTGTTACCAGGTCACAAAAGATGTTATTAAAGAATTTGCTGATGATGGTGTCAAGTATCTAGAACTGAGGAGTACACCTAGAGAAGAAAATGCAACAGGTAGATTCGGATATATACCTTAATTTGTTGTTGTTCAGTTGTTTTTCAATTGCGTCCAACTCTTTGTGACCCCATTTGGGTTTTTTTGGGCAAAGATGCTGCATTGGTTTACTATTTCCTTCTCTAGCTCATTTTATAGAAGATGAAACTGAGGCAAAGAGGGTTTAGTGACTTGCCCAGCGTCACACAGCTAGTCAGTGTCTGAAGCTAGGTTTGAACTCAGGTCTTCCTGACTCCAGGCCAAGTGCTTTATCCACTTTACCACCCAGCTCCCCACATACCTTAATTAAGGACCTAATAGACACCTAATTAATATAGCTTACCACTTCCCATTTTCTCTGCATTAAGTTTATAAATGGGATTAGTTAGGAATTACTTTTCTGTTGTATTATTATCCTCTGATTGTTTCATGTGTCTTCTCTCTCCAGCTAGATTGTAAACTTTCTGAGAGAGTGGTCACAGCTTAGACTACTGCTGTATTTCCCCACATCATCAAGCTCAGTTCTAAGCATGCAGTAGGCATTCAGTAAATATTTGTTGATATCTTGATTGATGTTTTGTTTGGAAATGATTTAATAAGTGCTTCTCGAGTGAACAGTCCAGCTCTGCAGCTCTTTGTGCAGATCCTGTTAATGAGTGACTTATGATCACACAAAGATCAGAAATTCAGTTACAGACCAATCTGTATCTACACCATCACTTCCTCTTAGCACTACAAAACACTAAACCATAAAGATAGCCCTGCAGAAAAGGTTTTTAAAATTATATTATTACTTTTATGCCTCTTTTGTAGCTATTATTTTTAATGCTGTATAGTAAGAGTACTTCCATGTGGTTTTGCCTCTTTGGTTTGATAGCCTTTCTGAAGGTGATACTGTTTCCTGACCATTATGCAAAGAACACTGAATGAGACTTTTCCACTGAAGAGGATCCAGATGGTCCTTTATAGCAGCAAAATGGAAACTATGTTGTTGCCTCTAGTGGCCCCTACTAAGTAACCCAGGATTTCAGCCTCAGGGTGATCTGGACTCTTCCTTCATGTCCAGTCAGTTGCCTAGAAAAATTTCTTGCATCTTCCCTATCTCTCCATTCATAAGTTCACTACCCAGCTTTACACAGCCATCGCCTCTCACTGGGACTATTGCAGGAGTCTCCTAATTGGACTCCTTACATACAGTTTCTTCCCCCACGCAGCTGCCAGAATTAACTTGATGAAGTGCCCAGGCTTGCCTAGCTCTTTCACTGTCCTTATTGCCTCTGGGGTATGTAAAGCCCTCTAACATATGGCACAAACCTACCTTTCTAGACTTGTTTCCTCTCCCTTCCCTTCACATGCTCAGTGTTCCTCCTTAATACCTATCACCTGACTTAGCATTCTGTCACTTACACCCATGCCTTCTTCCAGACTGTCCCCCACGAGTGGAATTCATAACTCCTCTCACCTCTGCCTCTTAGAAACCTTAGCTTCTTTTAAGACTCATCTTAATAAACGTAACCGTTCCCAGCAGTACAAGTTAAATTTGCCAAAGAATTCATCCTTTCCTCTGAAGGATCTAAGACATCTCCAGAGGCCTCGTGATGGAAAATGCTATCCACATCCAAAGAAAGAACTATGGAAGTTGAATTTCTTTTTTTTTTCTCTATGTCAGATTGTGTGCTGTCTTGGAGAGGGTGGTGGGGAGGAGGAAGGGGGAGAAAAATTTTAAACTCAAAAGCATATGGAAGTGATTATTGATAAATCAAATAAATTAATAAAAAATAGTAGGCAAAAAAAAAGACTCATCTTAGGTGCCCCCTCCTCCATTATGATACCTTTTGCTGATTTCTGCACTCCCCTCCTCAAATTATATTACAAAATATTAAAAAATATATTATAAAACACACACGTTTTATTGCATCTGCCAGTAAGACAAGCTCCTTGAAGGTAAGACTTTTATTTGTTTTTACATTAGAACTTCCTAACACAGTGATTTGCACATAAGTATTTAATTTTTCTTGAATTTTAATGATGGAAAAATTCCTTGGCAGATAAAAATTAGGTTGAGATCAAGTGAAATATTTTAATAACTTCTGGAATGTGACCAGCATACACATATATCAGTGAAGACTAGGTATGATTTGGATGTAGTATGGAGAGTTGTGCAGGTACCCTTCTGCAGAAGCCATTAACTAAAAATGAAGGGCTAAAGAATTTCCATTACTGTCAGCTTTGCTATTGAAATTTATAGGCCAGTAAAATTTTTGGTGGATAATTGTTTTGAAATAATTAACAAGATTATTTTGTAGTTGAAGCAAGTAATTGAAATAGGGAGGTGAAGAATCTTCATTTATATTTTTAAACTTTAGAATAAACATTGAAATATACACAGAACTTTTCCTAAAAAAGGAACAGGAGGAATGATGCTAATTAGCAGTATCTAGAGGCTTTTTTCCAGTGGGGGGAGGAGTATGGAAGACTGGAATCTTCTTTTCCCTACTAAGAAGGGAAACAAATACATAAAATTTTAAAAGAAGTTACTTTAAAAAAAAAGGATAGTGCTTTAGCTCATCTCTCTTTACCTGACCTGAAAATGTTTGCACAGGAATGTTTCTGTTTATGGTGACATTTTGCTCAAGCTCACATGAGTGTTTGCATGTGCCCTTCCTAGGTATGACCAAAAAGTCTTATGTGGAAGCTGTTCTAGAAGGCATAAAACAGTCTAAACAAGAAAATTTGGATATTGAGGTGAGGTAAGAAACATTATACCTTCTACTACAAAAACCAGAACGTGCCATTTTATTGCTGAATCTCGGGTGTGATTGGTTTCTGCGGAATGATCAGTGACATATTTGTCGCTTAATACTCTGAGGTGCCTTTCAGTAGTGAAGTATATTGTTCTCTGCCTACACATCTGGAAATCATTTTAAATGTTAGCAGCCGCAAAGAAGCTTGGTTTGAGAGGCAGCGGGGGGCAGTGGATCAAGTGCAGTATTTTGAATGAGGACCATGGTTCAGATCTTGACTCCGCCCCTACTGCCTGTCAGAATATCGGCATTTCTTGTCTGGGCCTCAGTTTCCTTTTGTAAAATGAGGGGCCTAGAGCAGAGGACGTAGCATGTTCTTTGGCTCTGCCTTTTACGTGCTTTAGCTCACACATCCAAATGAAACAGTGTAGCTCAGGGAGTGCGCAGAGCTCCCCCTTTTATGGACTGCGGGGAGATTGTCTCCATCTATGTGTAAAGTTAAAAGGGGGACCTCTTCTTTTTGTGCTACCAACATACAATGGGAAAATGGCTACACAAACTGGTATCTAGACATAATGGTATGGTATTGTGCTGTAAGAAATTGATAGATGTGAAGAACTGAAAGGATTTAAATGAATTGATTCAGAATGAAGTAAGCAGAACTAGAACCATTTATAAAATTACAATACTGATGGAAATAAAACATATACTAAGCAGAAACTGAACTTTGTCATTGCTCTAGGAAAAGAGATAATAAAGCATATTTCCATCTTCTTGAAAAAAAGGTGGGCAAATATGGGTATAGAATGTTACACATAAAGTTTTTCTTTCTTACAAAGGAAAATCTGGGTCCATGTGTTGGGCATATATGGAAATGACTGTGATGTAGTAGTAAAAAGCTTCAGTAAAACTTATTTTAAAAATAAGATACTGAACTCATTCCCCAACAGAATTGAACATATTGTGACATATTGTGTAATAAGTATTCCTAGAATATGTGTTTCCCGCTAATTATTGCTTTCTCATATTTGTTTTATGCGCACAAGTGCACACCGCTCTCCCCCCCCCCCCATATCTGGAGTCCTTGCAGTAATGGTCCTGCTTTCTTTTTAGCTATATATTTGTTCACTGTCAACTGTTCACCTGTATTGCAGATATTTAATAGCAATAGACAGAAGAGGTGGACCTTCAGTAGCAAAAGAGACTGTTAAACTTGCCAAAGAATTCATCCTTTCCTCTGAAGATACTGTCCTTGGCCTTGACTTGAGTGGAGACCCCTCTGTAAGTTTTTCCTAGAAGTAGTTACTCTTATTTTGCTATTACAGGGCAAGATGTTTTAATTGCAAAAGTACCTCACATAAGTCCTGTGACTTCATGTCCTTCCAAAGGACTCTCTGAACCTGAGAAGTTCCATTATTGTCTTCATTTGTTCATTTGACAGAAAAGGATGACTTGAAGAGTTATCAAGAGTCTTGAAATTTAGGCAGGTCTATTTGGTCCATTCTGTTTTCCACTTCTGCAGCAGAGGCTGGTCAGCATCCCAGGGTTATTGTTAGTATTATATAGTGGAAAGAGCTGAACCCAGAAGACCTGGGTTATGGTCTTAGCTCTATCATGAACTCAGTTCCCTTGGACAAGGTTTAATCTCACTGGACCATAGCTTTTTCCTTTTATAAAAGGAGAGCATTCTATTAGATCAGTCAATCAGCAAGCACTTAGTAAGTATCTGTTATGTACTTGGCAGTGTGAGAGGTGCTGGGGATACAGCAGTCCCTGCCCTGGAGGGGTTTGCATTTTGCCAGGGGAAACCACATATACACATAGAAGTAGATATAAGAGGTAATGGGGGGAGGGGCACTCAGGATGAGCTTGAAGAAAGCTAGGAATTCTAAGAGGTGGAGGGAAGGAGGGCCTTCATTCCAACCATGGGGAGCCTCTATAAAGGTGCAGGAGTAGGAGATGGAATGTTGTGTTTGGGAACCAAAAGGCACTTTTGAAAAGTGTGAAGGAGTAATGTGTAGTAAGTCCAAAGGGGTAAGCTGCATTTAGATTGTGAAGTGTATCAAATGCCAAGCAGAAGTTTATATTTTATCCTAGATATAAAACAATAGAGCTTTGGGGGCAGAAGAATAATGTCATCAGGTATGGGCTTTAGGAATGCTATTGGGGCAGCTGTGTGGAAGATGGATTGGAGAGACTTAGGGCAGGAAGACCAGTTAGGAGGCTATTGCTGCAAGCCAAAGGAAAGGTGTTGAGGACTTCAGGGTAATTGTAATTAATGAGGGTAGAGGAGTAAATTGGGATGGATAGGAAAGATGTTGTAGAGGTAGGATCAACAAGATTTGGCAACTGATTTAGATTCGAGGGTGTAGAAAAACAATGCATTAAGTATGATGACTAAGATTGCCAGCCTAGTTGACTAAAAGAATGATAATGTCTTCAATAAGGAAATTGGGAAGAGGAAGTCTATTTTTTTTATATATTGAGTTTTACATGCCTACATTTGGAAATGTGGAACTGGACCTCATGAGAAAGATTAGAGTGATAGATGAGAGATCTGGAAGTTACCGGCATAGAGGTGATTATTGAATTCATGGGAGCCAACGAGATAACCAAAATAGAAAGTAAACAGAGAAAAGTGGACCAATGAGAGAACTTTGGAATACACCCACAATTGGGGGCTAGACATGTATAATGATCAAGCAAAGGTGACTGAAGAGTGACCAAACTGGAAGAGAGTCAAGAGACAACAGTGTCACAAAAATCTAAGGCATGTATCCAGGAGGAGAGAGTGGGCAAGTTTATCAAAAGCTGTAGAGAGGTTAAGAATGATCGGGATTGTGGAAAGGCCACTGGATTTGGCAATTAAGAGATCATTGGTGACTTTGGAGAGAGCAGTTTCATCTGAGTGGTGAGGTTGGAAACCAGATTGCAAGAGACTAAGTAGGGAGAGGAGAGAGGCAATGATGGGGTATAGACAACTTTTCCCAAGAGTATGGTTGTGAGAGGGAAGAGTGATTTAGTGTCCTGTGGGGATGGCAGAGTCTAGAGGGGATGTATTAAGGATATAGGAGAGTGGATATATTTGTGAGAAGCAGGGAAGGAACTAGTGAATAGGGAGAGACTGCAGGTTAGAGGGGTAGAAGGCTAGTCTGTCAGATAGAAAGGGATAATAAGGTCAAGGGTACAAGGATTGGCCTTGGTGGGAAGGGGCACCTCTTCAGTATTGTAAAGAAAGTGATAATGGGGGATGGTGTCAAGGGGTTTTTGAGGTGTAGAAGAGGAGAGCAGGGAGTTCACAGCAAATGACCTTCTTTCGCAGTGAAATAAGGGGTGGGATCTTCTGTAGAAAGGTTGTAGGGATGGGATAGTGTGAGCTACTTGAGGAGAAAGAGGTTTGGGACAGTTGCTCAGGGTAACAAGATAGTGAAGAGCAAAAGGATTTCCTTGTGGAAGTGAGGACCCAGTTGAGATTAGTTAACATAAATTTGTATTGAACTCAGTCAGGCTAAACAGCACTGTTCAGCAGCACATCAGGAGAAATGGGGGTAATCTAGGGTTAGGATTTGGCAGTCATGAAGAGCAAAAGTACAAGAGGGTAGAGGATTCTAGAATAGAGGATGTGATCATCTCTAAGGCCAGCCTCTCTTTCCTCCCCATCTGTCCCCTTCCTCCTCCCAAAAATAAAGTATACTCACAAAACTTGACTTTCAGCTTAAAACTCCTTTAAGAGACTGTCCACATCTTGCTTTGCACTCTGAGATCACTATTAGTGACAATATTGTGCTTACCTAATCCTGACCACTGTCTCCTCCCAGTTTGTTAGAGCATTTATCAAATAGGATGGCTAATTTCCCCAGTTTATTCATGAGTTCTCACGTAGCCTTATTTTAACTTTTCTCTTTAAGGCAGGACATGGGAAAGACTTTTTGGAACCTCTTTTGGAAGCAAAAAAAGCAGGTCTGAAACTGGCATTGCATCTTTCAGAGGTAAGTAATAGTCTCAGACAAGAATAATCCTTTTTCCACTGTCACATGGGGAAAGTATACAATTAGAAATAACCAGGAAGTGGTTGGAAGGAAATGGAGTTTTGAAAATTATTTTGAAAGGGAAAAGGTAGACTTTGGGGGAGATATAAATTAAGACAAACTGTTTCAATTTATACATGACTTTTTCCTTTCTGGCAGTGTTCTTATTTGGGGTTTTGAGGGTCAGTGTTCAGTCACATTCTAGTTCATAATCACAGTATTCAAAACAACCTAACATCAACATCTTGCCTCAATTAGAAAAATAAACAAGAACTTCCCATCATCTTTGTTATTGAAAGCATTGATTGAGTGTCTCCATGGGCTGAGGATGAAACAAAGCATACTAATTTCACTTGTCCCAGGGCATGACATTTCAGTGGGTATTTGACAAGAGGTATTTGAAGTGACATGGAAATGGGAAGAGACGGGGGAAAGACTGTTTATCATGTATGTGGCAAGCAAGGAGAGGAGGAGTCACTTCTCAGTTGCCAAACATCTGGTCGTGGCAGGACTATACCTGGTATATGGTGCTACGGCCCAAACCACCAATAGGATGAAAATTAGCTGGACGAAACACTTCCATGCTGGGAGAGTTCAGATCCTTGATTTTTCCTCTGGCACCTCTAGGTCTCTCTGGTTGTCCATACTGCCAGTCTCTCTCCCTTCCCTATCTGGCCCCTTTCTCCCCCCAAAAATGACTAACAGCTCTACATAACATATACTCACAAAACTTGAATAGCAAAGACTGGTTTTCATCCTCAAAGTAATGTGCATTTGATTAAGAAATCCCTTCTTTTTTCCAGTGATATAAGTGTAAGGTAGAGAGACGCTACTCCCCATTTTACAGATAGAAAAACTAAGACAACTGAGATGCTATTGGGCCAGTATCAAAAAGCCATTGGTAAACCTAAGAATTTTGGTCCCAGTTTATTGTTTTGTGTAAACTACCAGGTAATCTTCTTTTGCCAACACGATGTCAAGTACAGCAAGCAGCCTGACAACATACCGACTATGTATGGGCATAACAGAAGAATGTGTTCCTCAACCTGAATTATCTCTAATCCATGTATACACTTCTTTCCCCAAAATGTGCTCACTCCCTTAAGCCTTTGAGATTCCTATTTTTATTCCTACTTTTTTCCATTGCTTATAAAACATTTAAAAACACTTTGAACGTTAACCTGGGCTTTCTAAAAATAAAAACAACGGTCTGATAAACCTTAAATGCAGAGATACTTCTGTAACTCTATGATTGTAGGACATAGCTAACTTTGCCAAAACAAAACATTAATGAAATGAGGTTCTAGAGGAATCTAGTATAGTGAGTAAAAAGGAAGGGGATAAAAGGAGAGTGAAAAAGATTCATCAAAAGAAAACAAGGTGAAGTGTGAATTCCTGCTGTGCATCAGTAGCTCAGAGCCACATAGCTGGCCATGATAGCTCCAGGAAAAGCTGAAAACCACTGAATCCAGCTTTCTTTTTTAAACCTACACAGATATATTTATATGTATCATTTTTAGATTCCAAACCAAGAAAAAGAAACCCAAGTCCTCCTGGGGCTGCCTCCTGACCGAATTGGCCATGGGACATTTCTCAGTTCCGGTGCAGAAGGGTCACTGGATCTGGTGGAGTTTGTTAAACAGCACCGTATACCATTAGGTGAGGTCCAGATCATTAAGAACCCTTCCAAGTTCCCCCTACAGCTTGTAACCTATACTTTGAAAGGCACCATTTAAAAAACAAAAGATAGAAATAATGGCTCACTTAACGCTGTTCTAAAATAAAAGCTTGTAATAATATTTGTTGGGTGTGGCTAGGTTGTACAGTGGATAGACCAAGTCTGGAGTCAGGAAGACTCATCTTTCTGAGTTCAGATCCATCTTCAGACACTTACTAGCTGTGTTACCTTGGGTAAGTTACTTAACCCAGTTTGCCTCAGCTTCCTTATCTGTAAAATGAGCTGGAAAATGAAATGTAGTATCTTTGCCAAGAAAACCCCAAATGGGGTCACAAAAAGTTAGACATGACTGAAATGAATGAACAAAAAACAATGACATTTGTTAAGAAAAAAATGCATTATTTATTTAAAAACCTATAAATTCAGGAAAAGTCACAAGTATTTCAGGTGTCTGCTAGCCAATGAATGCTTCTATTTTTCCAGATCTTTAGGTGTAGAAGTTATTTGGACAAAAACAAATTGCAATATCTTTTACATATGAAGGGAGTCATTCCACCCCCAACTTCCTAATTCCCTAGGTCCTGCCTCAGTAAAAGAAGGATTGGTAAGATGTAAACCTATGCTAGAACACTGTGGCCTGGACCTGTGTCATGGCTAGAGAATATGCTCACTTGGGGTTCAACAGAGTGCTCTTGGGTTCCCTTTGCTTATAAGTAAGGATAATCAGTCAGTATGCATTTATTGTCTACTATGTGCCAGGCATTATGCTAAGCACTGGGTATACAAAGAAAGGCAAAAGACAAGCCCTGCTCTGAAGGAAGCCACATTTGGAAACAAGGATTCTCAAAGTGAGAATTCTCATTTGTGCATCAGCCTGGGAGGTAGGTGAAATAGGCTTTTATTTCTCATTTTGACAAATTTCTCAACATGAAGTATAGAGGCAAGTCCATAAGTATTTCACCAAGGAAAGTTTAGTATTTTGTGATAGGAATTTGGTAATATTACAAATTAGCCTTAGCGTATACTTACTTTGCTTAAGAACAGTAGGTGAGTGTTTGTATGGGTAAATAAATGCTGGTTTCCTGTAGGACCACAGAAAAAGTCCAGAACTTTTCTTAACCTGATTCTATCCTGGTCTCCTTATGTTGCAGTTTCCACTCAGTGCTGTATTTTCAAGGCTTCATCTGAGCTTCTGCAATAAGGCTGGGATTAGGCTGGATACCCCAGCCTAAAAGAATCTCCCCCTCCCCATCCCCACAACCCCTACCACATCTGCTGGGCTGCCAAGATCATTCCCTATACTGTTATACATTATAACGCTGACCCTGTGTCTGGTAAGGGAAGAGGAAACCCCACATGGAATAGGTTTCCATCTACAGAGGTGAATTTGGGGGGGAGGGGAGAAAGTGGGAAAGAAATGTTAATTATTTTATTATAATTCGCTACAATTTGATGTAATAATAGAAAAGAGTTTTTTCCACTAATGAAACTAGTGGAACACCTAATTGTGTTTACTAAATAAAATTTTAAAATTATGAAATGCCATTATGTGAAAACATTTGGTTAATCTTCCTATACAACATAGTGTGGATTAACTACCTTTCTGCGGTTTTAATATTGTGTTTGGTTTTTTTTTTCTTTTTTCACTTAGAACTCTGTTTAACTTCAAACATCAAAAGTCAGACGGTACCTTCTTATGATCAGCATCACTTTGGATTCTGGTATGGCATAGCCCACCCTTCTGTAATTTGTGTAAGTAAGATGCTTTGCTTAAAATATTTTGATCCTTTCTTCTTCTCCTTTTGTAGTAAACCAAGTATAGCATTAATAACTGAATTACCTACCTTAGATGCCTCATAGTATTGCTTAAGCAATTGGTTGAGTGGTTGGTCTGGCAGGAAGAATTGCATAAGACCAGGGTGAATAGCTCTTGACTTCACAGAAAAGAACCAGGGAAGAAACTAACTTGGGAAAGATGGTAGAGAAGTTATAAGTGAGAAATACACTATTCTTCTACTGTTCTATCTCTAATCCTGGGGCCCAGGGAATAGTGCTGCACAAAACTATGATGAATATTTACTTATGCACCATGATTGAAAGCTCCAGCAGACACAAAAGTCTCTCTTAAAAGGGGCAACTAAAAATGTATTTCAAAGCTAAAATTTCAGGTTAGTTTGAATGATGGGCTCAGTTTTGCAACTAGTATAGTTTCATGGTAAGAAAGATTTATATTGACCCTTCTAGCTGGGGTGTCAGAGGGCTCTACAAATATTATTAATTGGTAATGATAATAACACTTGACATTTTATATCACTTCACATTTTACAAAGTGGTAGGACAGCTTACTCCTTCATGAGTCTAAGAGAGGTTAAATGACTTGCCATGGATCACTTAAACTTGGGACTAGAACCCAAGATTTGTGATTCCTAGTTCGGTGTTCTTTCACATCATTACCATACTACCTCTTTTACCTTCTCATAGGTAGGTATGAAGAGAGGGCTTTGGGATTCAGTGGTTCTGGGGACCAGAAAATGTTAACTCTGTATAAACATATTCCTGTGTACATTATATAGAGGGAAAACAAGAAACAACTTGATAGGAATATTGATCACATATTAAAGGGGAAATAGTCATTTCCTCATTTTCTTAAGACTCTAATTCTGAAACTTTCTTCGTTTATATCGGCAGACTGATGATAAGGGTGTTTTTGCAACACACCTTTCTCAGGAGTACCAGCTAGTTGCTGAGACATTCGGTTTGACCCAGACACAGATGTGGGACCTCTCCTATGAATCTATCAATTATATTTTTGATTCCAGCAGCACCAAATCTGAATTAAGGAAGAAATGGAATAATTTGAAGCCCAAAATCTTAAATTATTAAGTTTTGGAGCTAGAAAGGAAACTCTCTAAGAAGTTACATCCTGATCCTTGGCCTCCATTTGGAACCACTTTGCAGTCCTACCACCTGCCTTGAATCAGTGATTAGGAAATCCTCTGAGAGTCTAACAGGGGTCCTTAATCAGTAGATTAGAACCCATTGGTAGCTGCAGAAGCCTTACCCAGCTGATGTCTGGTTTGTCTGCTGCAAATATTCACCCCCCACCAAGAGGTTATAGGAAAGGGAATTAGCCTAGTCAGTAACTTGTACCACAAGCCATATTCTTCATTGCCTAGCCAGTAATCATAAGGCTTTAGAGAAATCATCCTTTTTCTTTTCATTCATTCCCAAAATATCCCAGTAGTATCAAAAGCTGTTGATGACACCTGGATCTCTCCTAAAAGGCCTGCAAAAAAAAGAGAAGCAGCAATCTCTCCTGGAAATCTCTCTTGCCCACTTGGAGTGCCTTAAGGCTGTAAGACTCATTAACAGTTCTCCATTTTTTTTCCTAAGCCCCCACACTCTTAAGGAAAGAAACCACTGTAAAACAAATATATGCATGACTACTTCAACAGGAGATGGGACCAAACTAATAAAAACTATTAAACTGAGGGAAGAAGTAACCAAGTAGGATTAGAGGCATACTTGTTTTGTTCTCTAGAAATCCCACTATAACTTGGCATATGAAAGGAACTACCTGACCATGTGCTACCCTTCTTTCTGCAGTAAAATCTGCCATTAGGTCCCGTGCTTCATTTTGCTCTGCTCAGATCAGAGTTGCTAACTTCACATCTGGGGTACAAAGCCATGACCAGATTTGGCCATAATTTCTTAAGGATCATTTCTCTTATTCTTCATGCTTCCTTGTAGTCATTAGCTGCTCATTTTCTCCTAATAGTTTACAGAAAGTCTGACCTCAGGAAATTTTTCTTGGAGAGTTGAAATACAGTCATGAAGCCCCCGCCCCCCATCCCCCTCCCCCCAAAAAAGTCTCAAAAGCAGATCAGGTATCACTGAGCTGTACATACAGGGGTATGAGTGTTTATATGCATTGGTCTCCTTAATAATTTGTTCCCCAAAACAATAGGTGAATAAATTGAATTTAATTAAAAATTATTTGGTGAGCTATTTCAAGGAAGCCTACTGAATCACCCACCAAGTTTGTTTTTATCTGTTTACATCAATTGAGATGTTTATGTAATACTGGATTTTCTTCAAGCAAGGAAAACCTGTAATAGCTGAAATATATTAGTTGGCAGTCGCAGATTTTAACCATTTCATCCATCCTTCTCTTTCTAGGGAATATTCTGGACCTTTGACAGTCAGAGAGGGCTTGTGTTGAGAACTGTTTTGGTGTCATACTGGTCTCTCCAGCCAGTCCTGCAGGGCTAGTGTAATGCCTTCACTCCTTTAGTCTTGAACATGTTATTCAGTTTCTCATACAGACTTATGGGGAAAGTGGGAAGAGAGTAGAAGAAAATCGGAAACCATCATAGTGTGTTTTACTTTGTGGGTTTACTAACATATTTGTGAGGTTTGGGCTGTTTCACTGTGTATATGTACCTCTCTCCCCTTGCATAGGGAAAAAAAAACCTAGTTCATTTTACTCTTTTAACGATCTAAAGAGATTTTTTTGGAGGGGAGGCTAAAAGCAAGATGAAGTTTAAATGTAATCTATAGGTTGTTGATACTTCCCTCCCCCTCCAAGCACAGATATTCCAGACTTTGAGATTGGCTTGTAGTGCTGCCCACAAGTCAAAAAGCATAACCTTGTTATAAGGCTGGCCTTTCAGGGAGACCTGGGTTCAAGTCCTGCCTCTTGATACATACTGGCCGTAAGACTGTGGGCCAGCCATTCAGCCTTAGGGCCCAGGCACCTAAGACTAAGTTACAGATCCACTGTCAGTGCATTAATGGAGAATGTTTCCACAGAAGGCAGTTCCTCATACTAGTGAAATCACAGGTCCAAAATGACAAAAAAAGAAAAATATCTCTGAATAGGGAAGAACTTTGAATCAAGGTTCTGAAATATTAAGACTAGGAAACAGAAGAATCCCTGGATATCTGCAGGTTTGGCGTTGACTTTGGAATGGAAAAATTCAAATGTATGGGGGTGGGGGAGTTGGGAGGTGGCGTTTGGTAGTCTTCACGATCTTGTTAGTCTCAAACCCTCACTTCCCTGCATCAATATCATCATAATTTTTAAAAATTTATTATATGCCTAAGTTCAAAAGGCACAATACTAGTGCTATACAAAATTTAAACAAAGACAGTCCCTGCAAAGAATTTACAACATAAGAAAGAGTAACAGGCAGATACATACAAAGAAAAGTTAAAAGCAACTTTTTAAAGGTGGTTTTTTTGTTTTGTTTTTTGCTTCACTTCGTTGTTTGGGTTTTTTGTACTTTAATTTGTTAGAATAGCTGTGATGGTATATGGTAATTCAAAATGAGAGGATAAAAGAGATTGGTAGCAGAATGAAGAGGGAAAAGTCAGAAGGCAGAGAGACTGACAGGAGTTAAAGAAGTGACCAGCAAACTTTTGCCAAAGGGAATGATGATGCTAATCCATTCTGGCCTTTGTTAGCACTACAACCTATTTCCTTTTGAACATTATTTAAAAAGAAATGTGTAGGTCAAGTACTGCTTTTCCCCTGCTAAACATCTCTTAGTTTTTATGTTCAGTGTTGATGTTTCTTACTGCTTTTATACACAGACGGTATAATTAAACAAAGGAGTTGAGAGGGGGCTGAGAGTAGTCTGAGATTTATCCCCATCCAAGCAAGGCATTTTTACTTTTGCCCTGTTGCTTTTGTTTATTTTTGCCAATTGCAGATAGCATTACTACTCCTTGATTCTGAGATAATGTGTCTGACTCTCACAATTATCCTAAGTCCTTGGATCAAAAATACAGAGATAGATACCAAACCTAGCAGGCTCATAATAGAATAATTTTTCTCAATTTACAGTAATCCCACTGACAAACCTATAGCCACATTTCTCCCAAGGACATAAGGATTCAATAGATGGGAGTAAACTAATGACTCCAGGGGAGCCACAAACGCAAGGAATGACAATATAATCAAATATTTTTCTAGCACTTCCTGTTTGAAGAACTGCAAGCATGTTATGGACATCATCTCATTTATTCACATGGCATCCCTGAGAGGCAGCTTAAGGTGTAAACATTATGTTTTACAGATAGGGGAAATGAGGCAGTTTGACTTAACACATAAGACAGTAGAGACTAAAATTCACGTCTTCTAAATACCCCATTCCCGTGATCTTTCCACCAGACTACACATGAATATGCTAAAGACAGTAAACTTAAAATATTATTGATCACACACTCTACACCATCACAGAGCTTGGCTTTAAGGCAGTTTTAGACTGGTTTTCTTATACCTTTTACTGCTTATTCAACATCTGGGAGGGAGGGGTAGCACTCTGATTCCTAATAAAAGTGTTTTCTGGTATTGTAGTATTCCTCCTCCATCAGAACCTTCTAAATCACATAACATCTTCATCTACCAACTCTACAATAGTCTACCTCACCTGCTAGCCAATTTTCTGACTCCAACTATGGGCCAATTAATTGAACGTATTATCTTAATACCAAGTGTGAGAAGACAGCTACTCATCTTTTCAATAAACACTCTCCACCACCCTCAGCCTCCTATAATATCTAATTTCCTTCTTAACTAATATTGGTCAGGTATCCTCTCCTACCCACTAAGGTATCTTAGAATCAACTCTATCTCCTGATTTCTTAGCTTCCCAAATAAGATCATTCTTACTCTACACTGGAAGCTGTCCTATATCCCCAGGGATATGCCAGATCTTCAATTATTGCACCTCTGGTTTCTTTGCCTCTGGCACACCTTCAAGTGTGATTTAAGGTCATTTCTTTTCTTCTACTACAGAGTTTTAAAAGCCCTTCAATGGTGTCAAATTCACTATACTCTTGTTCTAAGTACCCCCTGACACTGAATCGTCTCTTACCTCCCTACAGCCCAACCAATTTCCTTTACTCTAGCCACATCAAACACACTGCTTCCTAGTTTTTAAACCTTTTCCACTCACAAAACTCTACCTTTTTATGGGCTGCTTCCACTTTGAGAATTTCATCCCTCTCCTATTCCCTTCAAAAGACTGTTAACTTACTAAATGGAATCGGTACTTCCCAGCACCTTTCCTGAACTTGTAAATACTTAACTTTCTAGTTTTATGTCCTAAATGGTTTACTATCTGTCATGTACTACATATATGCATTTGATGATTATCTGATGTCTGTGTCAAAGTTACCTACTTTTAGACTGTAGGATCCCAGAGGATAAGGCCCAAATCTGTCTACCTCATTTTATATCTGGCCGACAACAGTATTATGCTCACTTGGGCAGTTAATACTATTTGATAAGCAGCAGTAAACAGACTTATTCTTAAGTGTTCTATGTCCCATGTATATTTTTTTAAAATACTGAATGCAGATTGGCAACCCTACCAACCTGGTAAAGATAATTTATCTTTAATCAGGCCATTGGCACTGGCGGACTCTGTTCCCAGTAAATACTAACACAGTAAATGTCTTCTGCTTATTAGTCAAGAAGTATTTAGCATCCACAGGGTGCTGTACTAGTTGAACTGAATACCAAGGATTTGAAAAATTCCTACTAATGCCCCATCCTACCCACCCTCTCTCTGCTCAGCTGGCTTGCTCTTTGGGGCTGCAGGGGATAGTTGAAATACAGATGAGATGGGACAGAAGGGAAGTAAGAAAACTAGATACTGTAAGTACAAGAATTCTTTCTACTCACAACCATCTGAGGGTTGAAGGAAACTAAAAGAATAACCATCCAGGGCTGACACTTCAAATTTACACAGTTTGTAACAGCTTCCCCATAAACAACACCTACATTCTTAACAAGACAATTCATAAGACATGACCAAGAGGGACACTAAACTCATCTTCATTAAGGGTAAAGGAGAGGGGGGACTAAAATTCAATCACATCATTCTGAGTACTGGTTTACATGAACAAGAGTCATTCCATTCCTTTCGGTATTTCCCTTGTTCTCTGGGGGGAAAAAAACCTGGATTCATGAGATTAAATCCATAGTATCTTTCCCCTGTGATGCTAAAATGTTTCCAGTCAAAGATGTAGTAAAATGATGTGATGCTCAGTGACAGGGATAACTTTAACTCACAGGATCTTCTCCTTTTCTTGAAGGAATGACATAGGCACTGAGAGGGGGCAAGGAACTTTGTCTAGTCAGAAGCAGAGCTAGGATGATATCTAGGTCTGACCTTCATTCCTTAGATCTTATTGCCTTGGCATTGTGGCTTTAGACTACACTCAGAAGACTATGGTAAGGAGCACCATAATGGGGTAAATCCTAAAGGTAATTTCCTAAGCCAGGTGGGCATTGAAGATGGGATCTCTGTTAGAAGATGCTTTCCCAAATAATACATTTATAAAGCCTCTCTGCAGATTCTTAGGTTTTTACTTAGGTTCCTTCTGTGATAGAAGCTTTTCTCTCGTGTGGATTTCTCGGTGTTTATTAAGGGCTGAACTTTTGCTGAAACATTTTCCACATTCGTGACATCCATAGGGCTTTTCTCCTGTGTGGGTTCTGTGATGTGCCCGTAAGTCAGAGCTTTTACTGAAGCTTTTCCCACAATCAGGACACACGTGGGGTCTTTCACCTGTGTGGATTCGCCTGTGTGCACTAAAGTGAGAGCTATTATTGAAGCTTTTCCCACACTCTTCACATTGATAAGGTTTTTCTCCAGTGTGGGTTCTCTGATGTATGATAAGGCTTGAACTCTGATTGAATCGTTTTCCACACTCACCACACTGATAGGGTTTCTCTCCTGTGTGAATTCTCCTATGAGTGATGAAGTTTGAACTGTCACGGAAACTTTTCCCACAGTCAAGACACTTGTACGGCTTTTCACCAGTGTGTATCCTCCGATGTCTAATGAGGCGGGCACTTCGACTGAAACTTTTCCCACAGTCTCCACATTTATATGGATTCTCTATCTGATGGGGTATCTGATGCATGAAAAGGTGTGAATTTGGACCAAAGCTTTTTCCATATCTAAGATATTTATAGGGTCTCTCTCCCAAGTAAGGTTTTTGATGACTTAGGATTTTTCCTAAGCCCTTTTCTGGAGGGGTCAGTTTTCCTCTTTTTTCCACTGGGGACTTTGCCCATTGCCTTCCTGTCCTGCAATCACTGTCATCATCTTTTCCCTGATTAAAACGATGGGGAATTTTCCTTTCAGACCTTGCAAGTAATGTCCTGTGCAGTTCTACTTCCTCAGAAATATCCCGTTTAGTGTTCTGCTTGTTCTCAAATCCAGCCTCAAAACCTGAAAGAATGAATAGAAATTCCAGAAGTCATCCATTCCCTCAGTTCTTCATGTCAGAGTATAAGAAAACCAGGGAGAAGCAAAATTAAAAATTAAATTAACAAAATTAATTTAGGAGCTGATATCTCCCAAGTGAATTTCAACTCACATAGGAATTAGAATTGTTATTTCTCTTTCAGAGAAACTCTTATTGGCTTCTCACTGTACTATTGTGCAGGGGTGGGGTGGGGGGAGTATTCTAAAAACTTGAGATGTCTAACTTTTTTTACTGTAGAGGTAATCTCACTGGGTTTGGGAATAGCAGTAACTGTTGGGGAAATGTCAATTGTTGCCAGAAACAAACAGCCTCCCTGATTCTGACTTTGCTTAGTATCAAACCTTTCACCGAAGCTCAAAATCTGATGATCACAAATCCCCAAACCTTCTCTTTGCCCAGGTACAATCTTCCTGTGTCCAGAAAGAGGTACATGGGCTCCTTTCCCTTAAAGTGGTGACTAATGACGTGCTAGGAACAAGGAGGGGATAGCAGAATACTCAGAAATTCATGTATTCTAATTCAACTTAAACAACTTGATTAAGTACCTACTATATGCAATGAACTAGAGATACATTAAAAAGGCACCATAATCTCTGTCCTCAGGAGCCTGTAATCTAATAAAGGGCATTCTAAGAGTGAAACTTAAAAAAAAAAAACCTCACACAAGTGTTTAAAAATCGCCCAGGTGTTCTGCTAATCAGTTTTTTAGAATACATCAAAGCAGGAGAAAGATTAGTAGCCAGAATGTTTTAGGTTCACACTATTCTGGAAACCCTACTCAGTTCTTAGTCCTGTGCATAGACAGAATGTACAAAACTATTCAGGCATCTTTTGCAGAACATCCCAACGTCTAGACTTCTTGAAGTTTTGCAGCTGGAATGTTCCAGCCTGGGATCCTTAACTAATAAAGGTTTGTCTAGTTCTGACAAGAGTAATGGTCTGTGCTAAGCTTAAGCATAACCTAGCCTTTATTTTTCTGATTTCCCCAATCATGGGGGAGGTTCCAGAAGCTATATGTAAATACTATGCTTGGAGAGAATCTCCCCAAATCTCCTCTTTAGATGAGAAGGTGAGTGCAAGGCAGGGAAGGACAGCAGGCTTTCAGTAAGTAAATGAGACTGACAGCATAGGAAACTGAGTCAAGCTGATGGAAGAAAACAACACACTTAGATGACAATGAACTTTAAAAATCATCTTTATGCCAGGACATACACCTGAAATGAACAAATATGCTGTCTACAATGAGCTATTAGAGACTCCTTTCATTGCCTTGCTGCCAGCCAGCCCATATGGAGGTGGTGACAGATTAAAAAACTACTATTTCCCCAGCCTTTGTGGCTTGAATTCCCCAAGATGATGCTGTCTTTGGAGTAAATAGAATGCACTAGGGAATAATATTTACTACTGCCCTGAAGCTCTGTGAGTTAGGAAGGGCTTTTTGATTTTAAAAGATTAGAACCTAAGGTAAGAGCGAAGGTGTTCACAAACTCAGTCAGAAGAGCTGGGAGTAGAGCCCAAGTCTCTTGGGACCTAGCTTTGTGCCTTTTCACCTACATCATAATTGTCCTTTCTGTACATCCAGGCCCCAAGAATAAAGTTTGTCTTACCCCTTGGACTTTGAAACAGGACTGGAGCGCCAGGGCTCCTAGAACTCCGAGGTGCCTCCTCAGCGCTCCCTTCCTCACCCTCAGAGTCTTCTGCTGTGGCTGAGGCCTCCTCAGCTGCCTCTCCCTGCTGCCATCCCTCCTGGTCTTGCTCTTCTGTTTCACCATCACTGGCCCCCAAGACAGGGCAAGGTGCTGCTTCCTCCTCCAGATCACCATTCGGTGGGACAGCAACCCGAGCACTCACCAAGGCATCCATCTCCTCAAAGAAGGGGCAGGTCTCAGGGGCATGGCCACTTTTGACTTTCCGATAGCTGGTTTGGAGGCTTTTAAACTTAGTCCGACACTGTTCCGGTGTCCTTAGGAAACCATGTTCCCATAACCGCTCGGCCACTGCCCCATATAATTGGCTATTACGATGACAGTTCCGGAGGGCTTCGTAAAACTGAGTCTCACTGAGAATTGCAAGGTAAGTCTTGGTCTCTTCATAGCCCCAGTGTACACCTGCCACCCAGAGAGAAAGTTCAGTGTTCTAAGACACTTAGCTTTGCTGCCTCAGTTTCCCAATTCTACCATTTGCTTCCTTAGGAAAATCATCTGGAATTGGACTTTAAATGAGTAACTTAAAAAGTTTTTTTTTTAATAAAATTTTTTTTTAAAATAATTTTTTTTTTCCTTTTAAGTTACAAAATCTGATAAATCAGGTTATCTCATTCCCCCACTAAGGCTGAATTTGATAGTAATTCAATAGAAATTGTTCTTTTAGTTTGCTTGTCTGTAATAAGAGAGGGCTTTCCTATCTGACCCCTTGACCAACTCTTCTGTACATGGCACAGTCATAGATAATTGTATTACCCTAGATTCTTCTGACAATCTGTCTTGGGAATCTGATTTAAATACAAAGTGACCAACTGATTAGGGGCAGACTCAAATTTGATTCCTGTTATCATGGTGGGCCTCTATGCACTACTCTAAACCTCATCCTCTTTTCTACTACCCTCATCATTATCTCTAGTTTTCATATTTCCAAAGGAGGGCTCAGATCACTAAAATACTGCTTCTACCAACACTTCAAGGTACAGGACCATTTTGCCTTTAAATCCCAGCACTGGAGCCCTTCAAATAACTACCACTCTGGAACACTAAACCATTTGGTATGTGCCTAACCCAATGGGGACTTAGCATGATCCCTGACACATTACAACCTTGCCCCTTCTCCTTAGGAACACTTTATTCACAGGAATCTGCTAAGGAAAACAGATCCTATGAGTAAGATTCTTTTTTTTTGGTTAGTGATTTGCTTAGACTGCAGATTCAACTTCTAAGGTGCCAGGGCAGACAGGAAGACATGAGGATATTGATACTATTTGTTTTCTGAGGGCTTCCAGGGTGGAGGTGGAAACATAAAGACTCTTCCTCCAGATGAGAACAAAATTAGAGAAGCCTAATCACTCTACTTCCTCCTTGCCAAACTTCTCAAGAGTCAATAGCATTATGGGGTGGAATCGAAGGGCTGATGGCAGATGAGAAGGAATCTTAACTAAGGAGGGAAAGAAAAATCTACCCATTGCTAATTCAGACCTCCATACATGGAATAATGTGAATTTTGAACTACAGTGGCCCCTCTTCCATTTGCTGGTAAAAACAGAAAGGAAACAGAACAGAGTTGGGGGAATAGTAGAAAAGGAAAGGAGAAAAAGTTAAAATCAGTAAAAATAGGGGAGAAAGGGTAAAAAGAGAATGATGGAGTTGAGGGGTAGGGAGAACCAAAAAAGAAAGTTCTAAAGGATGAGAGGGTTTAAGGCAAAGAACATATCACAATCATGGAAA